AACGCGTCCCCGATTCCTCTAATCATCCGCTTTACTAAAAGCCGCTTGACCCGATAAAACTGTTCAACTGTCGCTATCCTGAGGGAAACTGCCCCCTGCACCCTAGCACCACAACAAAACCTGTCAAAGCCCCGCGATACCTTGTCAAGTGTATTGCTCGTCTTTTTGTACGACTACGCGAAGCACGAGTCCCTGTAAGGCGACGGAGGCGTTCAAGCAGAAGCGGAAGGCCGAACGTCTTGGATCTGCCGCTTGTGGAGGGCTTGAGGGCAGAGGGGGGGTTCGGGCAAGGGTGAAAGGAAAAGGTGGAACAGGGATTTAGGACAAACAGACAAGACTGGACTACAAACAAGCTAACACGCAGGCAAGGAAAGCACCAAGCAAACAGTCAACACAAGAGCAACCACATGCCTCTGCGCATGTTGTGAAGCCAGTTCCTAAAAGTTTCCGAACTATGACACCATCTGGATCTGGTTCCCGGCGCTGTCGCCTGTCCAGGGCGCTTTTCGCAGAGAACGTCTTTGGGACGTGAACTCAGACGGTGAGGAAGTCACCCTGTGCTCCCGATGTTATATGCCAATCGGCGAGCTATTGGGCTGCAATTGTGCCTTGAAAACTTCGCATCGTGTTGGGTGAAACAGTTTTTTGTTTTACCAGCGGAGTGCCACTTAAACTTACAGCGGTCCAGAGTTTGGATCAGCCATGCTTATATCATGGTCTGTTCAGCCCGTGCTCATTGCGAGGATGGCTTACGAGGGAGAGACGAAGAATACTTGCGTGCATCCAGAGTGCATGGCCGCGGTGGTCATTGAGGCCGCCTTCTTTGCACAACTGCACGTAGGGTTTTAGGGTTAAGGGTTCCTGCTCAAAAAAAGGGTTTGGGGTTTAAGGTTGAAGCAGAAGTGTAGACAGCATGGCAGGACATGCAGGAACAGGAGACGAAGTTCTTGGCAGAGGTCGGGGCACAACGCTGGCGAGTGCTTGTATGCTTTCTACACCGCATCCACCTCTGGCTCCTGCACTTGTGAGGAGAATGAGAAGAAGTTGAAGAATCGCAAAGAGTATGATATCGGATCCTCGGAGAGTTATTTGCTGCGACTTGTACAAGTCCGAGGACTTAAGCCTTTGTGGGACGGCCGTCCGAACCGCGAAGCTCAACATGGGGGGTAGGGCAATGTCGGTCCTAATGCCCCGCAGCAGCATGTGGAATCTGCAAAAGAGCCGGGTGTCGACAAACATGGACCATACCATGGGCAATGCACATAAGACATAGAGCCTTCAGCTGCCAAGGATGGCGCATGGACAGTGTGCCCAAGAGCGGGACTATTGCAGAGCGCCTGGGCTACAGCCCGGCGCCACAGGGGCTCGCCAGCCTCGTTTGGGACGAGGTGCGGGTGTGAGGTTCGGCTTGTATGGGGGTTGGAACAGGCTTTGCTGAAGCTCCAGTTTGTAGCGAAATAAGTGGAGTCAGAGATCTTTGTGTCAGCCGACTGTCAGTTCAATGGCAAACTGAAGCGGGTTGTTTTGTCAGCTTTGTCAGGCGGCGAAGACTGTTCGTGTAGCCTCCACCCTTGAGCCAGCGGCGGCGGTCAACTTGGAGCTACCTGGTCGCAGGACTGTGGCCGCGGGATTTGGAAGCTGGCTGAATATCATAAGATTTAATAGACATGAGGGAGTTGGAAGCAGGAGTGTCGGTGCTGACCCTGGCTCAATGCAGACTGAACTATTCCGCTTGAACCTGACTTTTGAGTGTAGTCCACGTGTTCTGCGACTTCCGAGCAGAAACCCCGTGCCTTCTTAGGTACTTGGTGCTGGCGCTGAAGGCCTGGTGACACGGCAGCTGCTGCACAGTTTCGAAGTACTATGCGACGTGTACTGTGCAACTCTGTGGATTCGAGCTTTGGTAGACGTAGATCGATGTTGCTGTGATTTGGCGAAACAAGCGCGGCGTAAGGTCAGGGATGTACCTCCTTCGACGCTACCGGGCCGTGTGTTTTTTTGTGGCGAGCGTCGGGAATAGCAACTTTCGTTCCTGTACATAAGCTTATCAAGTGGAACGTGGGCTATGTACCCAGCCACCAATCAGCCGTAAAACCCAACATGCGAAACTACGAAGCAGTCGACAAACAACTCAATCGGCAGGTGAGACGGCAAGGTCGGCGCGAGCCCTTGTTCTCACTGGACCCGGTTGACCCTCAGAACATGGAGCCGTGGCCAAGCGATGCCTTCTTCGGGGTCTGGTTCTTCTTTGGGATGGATACTTATATAATTATATATATATATATGTATATAGTATGTATCTGTAGGTCAGCTGTGGGACTGCTGGCAAAGTAAACCCCACATCATTGGTTGAAGCTTCCGGCTCCGGGCTGCAGGGATGTCTACCGTACGGGCCTCTAGACCTACCGCTGCGGTCAGTCGGAGGAGAAGACACCTCAGAAGAAAGTGTTCGAGCCGGACTGGCTTGCTGGAACCAGCGTCGGCAATGTGATGTTCCAGGCAGCATGCCAAATACCTGCCGGATCACATTCCAGCGACTGCAGAGATGCTTGGGCTGTCTCTGCGAAGTCGTTCGGGAAGTGGCTGTGGCCCTGGCCCTGTATAGTCTGAACGGCCCTGTAGAGTGACCGAGACCACCCTGGATCAGGCTGACTACTTTCTGAAGGAGCTCGCCTTAGGCCTGCATCCCTTCCCTATGTTTATGTCTCGGGCCTGACATTGCTAACCGTCTCCAGGCGAGTACACGATGCCCATTGTGGGCATGATGAGCGTCTTCGACTGGTCCGAAGTACTGGAGATGCACCACCAATGGACAGGTCGCGAGTGGTTCGTGGCCAGAACCTCAGCAAACAGTGTTTAAACCACCATATCTGGACCCTGAAGAACCTACCTTTTTAGGGCCCCTTATTATGATTTCTTTGTATAAGTCCTTAAAAAGAAAGGTAGGTTCTTTGGGGTTAAGGTAGCCCATCGCAGTTGGCATCGTAGTACGCGCTCGCGGCCGAGGTGAAAAAGGCTGAGGTCCGTCTGGCCGAGGAGAGATGTCAAATACTGATGGCCTCCTCGTCGTAGTCATTGAAGTCCACTAACCCAGGTACCTACTATATAGGGTACTAGAGCCCCTAAGGCCCTATGTAGTAAGTAGCTGGAGGGTTAGGGCTAGATATTTGGGTCAGGTCATGGACCCTCCTGCATTAGTACGAGCTTGCTTGGTTTCACTACTCAGCGGACCTCGAAGCATATGCCTCGCCTGGATTGTCCGAGTCTGAGCGCCGAAACCCGAACTTTGCAACAACATACAACATGGGAGCTAGGATTAGGGGGACCCTTGGGGATATAGACCCTCTCAATAAGGAGCCACAAGTAGGGTTCAGAAGGGGTACCCTTTAAGGGGTACCCCTAATAATACTACCTTCAACAGCAGCAGGACAAGACGCTGGTGCCCTTCGTCAAGATGGGCGTGGAGGCCCGAGAGCAGGCGCCGCAGACGCAAAAAACAGAATACTCCGTGGTGGGGATTTCCCAGAGACTCCAATACCCCTTAATTAAGGAATATACCTTAAATTATAGTAGGATCCCGAATAAGATTTAAGGTATATTCCTTAATTAAGGGGTATTGGAGTCTCTGGGTTCAGAACGCAGGGATACCTTGCTAGTAAGGATCCTTTTGTTGAGGGCTCGAAACTAGGATCCCCTACTTTCTGAAACGCTCTTGCGCTGAATCCTGAACACCACTAATAAAGTAACCGCTGTGATAGGCAATACCCTTGATGTGCTGACTTCCATCTCCCTGTTTGCACCAAGTAAATGCTATGACAAGCCTTTCGTCTCAACGACGGCCCAGCAGTCGCAACCTGATGTCGTGCAGCTACTCGGGCCTAAGCAGACAGCGGTTTCTACGTGCCATGTAGCTTGCCTCGGCCGCAGTTTCATAACCCGAAAATCCGACAGCCCCAGAAGTCCGGGACTGTACGAATAAGGAGGTGGCTAAACTGAACCTGACAACCGCAGGTCAGAAGACATATAAAACCCAGGCTTTTGAGGAATTTCACATCCCCTACACCATGCAAGAGGCCAGCAAGTTTATGGAGCAACTTTACCATACACGTGCCCTTCTTAAAGGTCTTGGACTCCAGCCCGAGGAGATACCTACATCTGGTGGAGACGGGGAACGCCTAACTCATGACCATTCATGACCCGTGACAATGCGGGATCACAAATCAAAGTCTTCCAACGCTGCCGAGAGCAAAAAGACTCGAGAGCACTGCACGCTTCGTACCCGAACCGTGGCTTAGCACCACCTAACCCAACCTTAAATTAAACCAGCACAACCTACTCTGTGTCGATATGGTCTCCGCAAACTCCAATCAACAAAGTAAACTCTTTCGGGTTGAAGTGTAAGCTGCTTGTAAACTTCAATCCGAAAGAGTTTCAGCGCATCAGCCCATCAGAAGGTTGGGAGTGCGAATCTCTCTCAACATAGGGAGCCGAGTGCAGCTGCTGCCTGGGATGGCAAGTTCACCATGCATCGACGGTCCGGAGGCAAAACATGACCAAGAGTTTTTGAGAGACAGCCCGCCGAGAGGTGCTGACTGCCGAAGGGCTCCGGGATGCGCCCATCACCGGCGCCAACCATCCGCTCCGAAGGCATTTGAGGGTTTTTGGATGTTGAACCTGGGTTCTATGGACTCTGGGGTTCAGAGGTCGGGGGGTGCTGCAAAGAGGTCTCCATGACAGGCTGGAGGTGAAGGCGGCAGGAGGGATCTCGGCTAAATCGGTTTGAGGGACAACAGCAGGGGTGTCCAGCAATTTCCGAGATGTAAAATCGGGCGGCATTCTTAAAGGCAGAGTCTTTGTTCTGTAACATAGCAGAGGATGTACAAGCCCAGACGCGTGTCGCTGCATTATAACGGGCAATGAGTGTTTCGCGCAAGCTTTGTAAACATCGTGGTTATCCTTAAGCAAATCCTTGTTCCTAATGCTTCAGGTTTGCAGATGCATTCACTCGCAACTTCGACCTCATTGCGGAGAGGAAGAGTGCCCGGAGACCAAGATGTTCTAATCCGACCTGTGAGAAGCAGGCTGCCTTTCGCGAGTCACACAGGCAAGAACAGTCATCATGAGGCTGATGTCGCAAACGCGGATACCGAAATAATAGGGATGGATGCTGAACCTGGCACGGGAACACGCAACTTACATGAACGACAAGCTGCACCCGCACAGGCTATCTAGAAACGAACTCCGAACCCGGTACATGCTTGTGGTCTCGAGGTGGTGTACCACTTGCGCGAGCTGGCCAAGGCAAAGGACAACTCAAACTTTAAGCTCATATAGGGGCCTTAATACTTAGAGAATAGGGTTTTGGGCTATATTATAATGTAACTAATACTTACCGTATAATAAGGGGCTCCGAAAACAGTATAGGTAGTTCTTATTTAAGTCCATATATTATTCTGCAGGAGCCAGCCAGGGTTCAGTCAGTATCCCTACCCTCCACCCCTTCACTAACAAGATTTCGCAGTTCAAGGTTGCCGGGGTCCAGGTCGTGAGGACGATTAGTCTTGAGTCGCAGGTCTTATCTATTCTGATCTGTTCGCAGCTGCTAATTAAGTCTTCTGCCCCCACGATTAGAGGCCTCCGTCGTCGCGAAGTTTCTGGTGGACTCCGGTGCCAAGTTGGACCAGTGTGTGGCACTTAAGTTTCGGCCGCAGTGAACCGAGTTTGTAGCCGTCAGAGTTTTAATATGGAGCCTTTGTTTTTGTGGCTCCGCGCACTTGGCAGGTTGGCTTGACCTGGCCGACGAGATTGTCGAGAATAAGGTGCCGGAGGCCTTCCCTGAGATTCCGCAGCTCTGGAACATGCGGGGCCTCTCGCGCATCCGCCTGGAGATTCCTGGCGCAAGATGTACAAGTCAGGACAGTGTTCGCACTAGTACGGTTTCATAAACGGAGAGCACTGTCTCTGTGCAGGTCAGGTCTGGATCATGGCTTCCCACGTAGCCGTGCCGTGGTCCAAGGAATGGCAAGGTCGTGGACACCGAAACCGGCTTAGTCACGAATCTGCACGCCATCTACGGTGGCGTGGAGCCTCTCGGCTTGGGAGACGGGGAGAGGTTTGTTTGGCATGTTCTCCTTCAGCTGTGCGGGGCCTTTATAATGATATGCTTCGAAGAGAGAATTCCTTTAAGGGGCACTCTTGAAAATGGTCCTAGCACGGCCTGCTCAGGTTTGGCTTGGATCGCTTCGAACTGGCTCAGCGCCGGCCGGGCATCCCGGTGCCAGGAATGGCTATGCAGCAGTCTCCGCTGCAAGGCATGCAGCTGGGTCCTTCCGGGCGGCCCATGTTCATGCCGCAGCGATTCCAGCTGAGCCAGCGGGGGGAGATGCCACAGGGTGTGGACTTGAATTTGGACCAATTCAACCTGACGGAAGTGGAGCAGTTTGCTGGTACCCTCCCTGCCTGCAGCGGTGACGCGAAGTCCCTGGAAGCACGGGTAACATTGGGTCGGGCCTTCTTGGAAAGCCTGCGATCTGGCTTTGGCAAGGACGTGGCGAATGACAACAAAGAGCTTTTGAAGGGAATCTTCAACCCTGCACTGGCAGACAGGATGGAGGAGGGGGATTCTTTCGTTCCTCCTGACCCCAACAATTCTTACATCTCCAAGGTCCGGGGCCTTGTAAGCGAAGAGCAGGCACTCTTGAAGAAGCGGAAGGGCGCCTTCTGTGATCGCTCCTTTGCTCCCGGGAGCTGCGGGCCCGAGTTCCCACGGTCCTGGACTGCCCGGTTCACCATGGAGAACGGCGTGTCGCCTGCGGTGATGATGAAGCTGCGGTCTGCCATGGTCCAGCTGCAGGTGGACGCCACCTTCCAGCAGACACTTATCAACGATGTCGGACGCTTAGCCTCCCGCCGTTACCGGAGCCAGTCGCAGAACCCTGTCCCTGCCCAGTGCCCAGCCAGTGCAAGCGATGCCAAGGTCTTGCCGGTTGCAGCCCCTGAGTTCAACAAGGCCACCGAGGATGGGGTCGTCTTCCGCATCTACCGGATCGGTAGCTTGGAGGTCCGAACAGTCCAGGAGCCCGGAAGCTCTGAGCCCCTCGGACCTGCCAGGAGTCCTCCGCGATACCACAAGACAAGTCCGAGTAGTTCACGTCAGTCGCAGATGCGAGCTTGCTGGTTCCGGGGTCGAAGTTGAGGTCCGTGGCCGTGGTTTTCTCCACCCGTGCACCGAGCTGGGGACATGCACAGCGGAAGGCCGTGAAAGAGGCGCTTGCAAGTCAGCACGAACCGCAGCAGTGACCGGACAACCCGCTGGCGACGCCATGCGACGCCTCAGCTTCGAACAGCTGGGTGAGAGTTTGCACATGTCCTGTCGTGCAGTAGACCTCGCAGGCGCACGGGCCTGAAAAGGTGGTACGCGGCCGCCTTTATCTCGAGGCCTGACTCGGAGCTTCAGGGTTTGGCCTGGCCTGGCGTGCTCTCGGGTGCGGGAGAAGGGTCGGCGCTGGCTGAACAGCGATCCAAGCCCTGGAAAACCCTGAAAATGTTTTCTGATCTCATCTGCAACTGAACCATTTTGGGAGTGCCTAATGGTTTCCGCAAACCTGCAGAGATCCAGGAGCCCTGGTGTTCATGAGGACGCCAGTCAGTCCGTCGTGTATAAGTTTAGGGCGAGGATTGTGCATAACAGACTGAAGCGATGCGGCAATTGCAATTTTTTCTCCAGCTTGAGCCCCAGGCCTTGGATGCCGAGTCAGCTAGACGACTCGACATGCGCTGGTCTAGCAAGAGGCGGGTGTGTCTGGGTCCAGCGCACATTGCAGTTTATGCCTCGAGACAGCATGAGCCCCGGAACGTTCGCCCACACTCTTTGAAGCGCGGAAGGTCGGACTACTGTCACTATTATGTCGTGCTGGAGACCGAAGGCAACAACACCATAGTGACGGAGAAGCTGGCCGATGGAAGTGCCATTGCTTGACTCGTGTGACTGTCGGATAGACGGGGGATTCTTACCAGAGAACCTTGTAGACACCTTGGGCTCCCTGGGAACACGTGTGTCAAAACCGAAGTGGGAAGGCCGCATACCACAGGTAAGCCCGAGACTACTAAACTAAACCCTAGTTTGGCAGAGGCTTCCGAGATCTTCCGGGTATTCTCAGGTACACTGATGTTCATGAACCCGGATGGTCTCGAGGATCGCAACTCGATGGCCAAACTCCTGTCCACGTCAGCACCTTATCAGCACAGAGTCGTTAGGGTTTAGGGTTTAGGGAGGTTTATGGTTTAAGGATTCGCGGCCAGGCCCTGCTGTTCAGGGAGTTGGCACACAGTCCAAGCTCATGCTGAAAAAGGATTCACGGCCCTTCTTTGAGCCAGAGTTTGCTCTTGGTCCAAGGAAGACTGCAGGGAGATGAACGTTGACGTGGCCAGGATCAGGCAGTTGCAGAAGCTTGCCTGCAACCGACTGCACCCGAAGCTCTACAATGTCGGACAGGGCTCTTAAGCAATTTAAAAATAGTCTCTATGATAGTCATCCCGGACAGCTCTACATGGCACCATTATGATGGCATTTACCTTAGCGGCTGGCTCCCATGGCTTCTTTCGTACCAGTCGAGTCTTGCGCGAAGTTTGCCATGTCAACGTAGAGAGCTCTAGGAGGCGAGCCATCGATCGAATCACTCAGGATTACCGGCAATCGAAAGCTGCCGGAGGTGGGGTGCTGCAAGAGTCTATGACAAATAAGTAGAACGAATTGGCATCATGATCCTTCTTGGCTCTGCTTGTTGTTCGTCCTCGTCAGTTTTGCTCCGCATGCGCAGGGCGCGTGCCCATCCATGCGCAAGCACTATGCTCGCTCAGTTTTCGCTTTGGTGAAGCAGAAGGCACACGGGCCGTCCGCTGCTGTGTGCACAGTTCCTGCACCATTTTGCATCGCGTCCTGCCTTCTTGCACCTGGGACAGCTCTGATGAGGCTGATGTGCCGAAGCAATTTTCTCTGACAGCTCAGTGAAGTTGTAGTGTGGAGCATTTGCGATGCCCGCAAGTAAGAGAACAGACAGCCCGGCGCCAAAAGCCACTCCGGGCAAAACTGTCCAGACCGAGTCCTCATCGCCGCCAGGGAAGGTCGTCCGCAAGCAGACACGTCCCGTCGGCGAGTTCTATGGCAACATTGGCACAGGCTTTTGGACCTTCTTTATTCCGGCTGCAATCTACTACTTCTATGGGATCATGGTGATGCATGCCGGACGACTTGTGATTCCAAGCCCTAGCTTCTGGTATGACCTCGTCTATGCCCTTCCAGACGGCCTTTCGATCAAGCCGTGCTGGGGGCCGACAGTAGTGTCCTTGACCTGGGTGTGCTGCCAAGCTCTCGGAGAAATACTCCTTCCAGGGAAGATGAAAGAGGGTGTGATGCTCAAGAATGGGCGCAAGTTGATCTACCCGATGAACGGTCTGTTGTGTTTCTTCCTGAGCCACGTGGGCTTGTACCTCGCATGCTCCTATGAGATCATCCCGCCGTACTACGTCTTTGCAAACATGGGCGCGCTGTTGACGGAGGCTGTGATCACCAGCTATGTCATGGCCTTGTGGTTATACGTCGACTTCGGCATCTTCTGGAATCGTCACACGGACGATCCAGACTCTCGAGTGCATCTGGCGCCTTGTAGAGGGCTTGGGTCGGAAAGAAGCTGCTGCTAGAGATGGGTGCCTCTCTAAGGAGTTCGAAGAAGATCATGGCGTGTTCCACTTCAAGGACACGAGGGCTGAGAGGTGGCCGCCGCAAGCAAGTCGCTGTTTGGTTTGCCACAAGCCTTGCGATTCCTGGAGTACCTATCTAACTAGTTCTAACTATGAGACCTGCCATACGGGAGCCCGAAAAACCTTAACTACAGAGTAAGATGCCGAAGACCTGAACCGCTTTTTCCAGGACTTCTTCAATGACTTCTTTATGGGCGTCGTCCGCAACCCGCGCATGTTTCATGGTATCCTCAAGGTCCCGTTCGACCTGAAACGGTTCTGGAATGCCCGCCCCGGTCTCACCGGATGGGTGATCTTGAACATCTCCTATCTGGCCGCTCTGTTCAATCCAAAAGCCGTTTTGCTTTGAGACTGGTGAACTTTGGCAGCCGTCTTGCAGTTTCTTCGCATGAGGCCAGCATGTACTACAACTGCAAGCTACCGACGGCATACGGTGCCAGCGACTCCTTGTTCTTTGGAGACCACGAGGCGGGCCCTGAAGAACAGTCGAATTCTGGTTCACTCTTGCGGCTTCATGTATCTGTTCGACAGTAGAAACACTCGTGTGGATTGCGACCTCGAAAGGGCAGTGGAGAGGCTTGAAGCCGTGAGGGCAGTTAGAGGAAGGCACGAGCCAGCTCGAAACCCTGCTCTTGCTTCGCAGGCCAAGTCAGCACAGATCCAGGCCATCTTCAAAGGGAAGAGCCCTGACTCTTTCTGCGATGAGACAGGCCGAAATTCCAAGCATTCGACGCTTGCTGGCACATTGTCTAGAGGCCTGAAGAATCTGAAGCTGGCTCAGGCTCCCTGGAGAACATTGGCCTTGCGGCGCTTTTCATCACCTTTGCCCACTGGCGCCTCGCCGGATCATTGAAACCTCTAGTGGATTGATCCGTGCATCTCTTGCTCTTGCTGCCGGCTGCTTCCGTCATACAGCAAGATACAGCCAGCTACTAGTAGCAGTGTGTTTCAATGGAAAGACTTCATGAACCTACGGACGCGAAATGCAGGTACTATATCTTTGACTACAACCTTGTGGAGCCAGCCTACCTGACCACGACTGACATTCGCCATGACCTCTTCGGCTTCATGTTGACATACGGTGACTGAGCTTCCATTTCTGACTATTGCCATGATGTGCCATGCTTGTCAGAGGTCAAGGCTGCAACTTCTGGCTTTCTTTCAGTGTTTGCAGGGCTTTAGTGTTTGTAGACCCCAAATCATGGCCAACATGTGAATGCATAATGTGCAGGAAGTATAACACAGAAAGAGCTCTCCTCGAAGTCACTACATATGTGTATATATATATATATAATATACCTATTATATTATATGTATACGTCCGAAACGGCACACATACAATCCCAGCTTCAGGTGACTGGGGATTCCTGAGCCGCTTCTACCCTATCTGCTTCATGGGCTTTTTGGCCCAGCAGGGAAGTCAGACCAATGGCTACATCACCAAGAACTACGTGTTTGCGGGCATTGGCGTCTGCATGTACCTGTTCGGAATGGTCCTGTTCCGGGTGACAAACATCGAGAAGCACCTCTTCAGAGATCATATGAACAATGGAGGCTGGATTTGGGATTAGGAGTTTTTCAGCGTGAATGAGCTTCGAGGTTTCGCTGCACACAGAACCAAGCTGTGCTCGATGCCAGGTTCTGCAGACAAGTACCGCTCGCCATGGAGCACTCGAATCTTTTTCGGCGACAAGAAGCCCGAGTTCATCAAGACGAAGGAAGGCTCGCTGTTGCTAACCTCCGGTTACTGGGGCTTGGCGCGCCACTTCAACTACATCGGCGACCTCACGATGTGCATTGGGTGCTTTGGCTGTCCGTAGGTCCAAGAGAGAGAATTGAAGCCAGCGGTCGGACGGCAAGGCAGAGATCACGAGGGCGAGGGATGGAGACGATTGCATATGTCCCTACATTCTTGCATTGCTGTAACTTCCGTCTGTGAGGTGGGCCGTTGCTTGCTACGATCCGGAGTCGCCTTTCATTTGGCTCCCGATCGCCTACTGCTCCTCGGATGCGAAGAGGCTACCTCAAGGTTCATGGATTAGTAGACGTTTACCGTAGAAGTGCCCTTATCGGAGTCGCGTTATCATAGTTAGCACCTCTAAGTGCACTTGCTGAGCACGTGGTATTCGGCGGCTAGGCTAGACGGCTAGCCTGGTTGCGAATGGCAGTTGAAACCTCCATGCAATAGAAGTTGAAGCCTGTACCGACACCCAGGTCAAGCTAGACACCCCGGCAACTCGACTAGGTACACCACCCAAACAACAGATCGGCTCAAGGTGTGTTGGTTTGCAAGACCGTTGCTGCTTTGTCGTCCCTTGACGTAGTGTGAGACAGCACGATAACCCCTTGGCTCCTCGATGTGTGCAGTACACGAAGCCTGAGTGAGGGCACCCCAGAATCCCGACCTCCTGGGGCCGGCGGAACAGAACTGATAAAGAATCACTGCTTCCTAGGAAATGATGGCAACCGGGGTAGGGAGCTAAATGCTTGCGACATGCCACACTCATTTCCAGCCCCCACGCATGATTGCAAAGGGCCACATGGGTCGTCTTCCAATGTGACGCATTCGATGTAAAATGATTGCCATCCTATAGGGAGTTCCCAAGGAAATGACTGCAACGGGGGAGGGCTAAGCCTCCTGAGTGAGACCTGATGATAAAGACGTCCAAACTCTCAGCCCAACAAACAGACTAATCTTTCGAGGCATCTACTTCTGGCTCATGGACTGCCACCGATGCTGGCGAGATGAGGTGCGCTGCTCGAAGAAGTACGGCCCCGACTGGGAGCGCTACAGGAGCGGAGGCTTTTGCGGATACAGGTTTGCTGCGAAGGAAGAAGGCTCTCTACTTGTAGACAGAAGCAAGCTCCTTTGCTTCTGTTTTAGAGAAGTAGTGGTCCTGTTTTGGAAGTAGTTATCAAGGAAACTCTAGCATGGAGTGCGCGAGAAAGCACATTTAAATGTGCACGCCGCCAGAACTATGACCATGACTTGCTACAAATTGCCAGCAAGGAATACCAATGCTGCCCAGGCTGCTTTCCCAGAAAGATGTCAGAGCACATGTATGTCTCACTATGCCGAGAGAAGCAGAGCCCCATTCAATATCAAATTCATGGGTCTATCAATAAAAGTATGCCGAGCTTCTGTCATCGCAAGCAGCCGAGCGGTTGTGTTTGGCAAATGCAGTTTGCAGAAAGCGACATAGCAAGACATTTTGCTCGGTTCATGAATCTGTTCGTTGCCTCCTGCAAGCAGAAATGATCAAGAGCGCATCTCCCACGCTCAAGTTGCCACCCCCAGCTCATGCCGCATGCGAACACATCAAAGGTAGATACTTCAGCATGCCAACGTGGCAGGACCATAAGCGGCAGGAATTGTGCAACGGTCAGTTCTACCCCGTACTTGAGGGTATCAGATGTTGCTTGAAACGCCGGGACAAATCTCTTTCTCCACTATTCCGTTCTATTTCTCTTAGGAGGACAAAGAGGCGCTGAGCGCTTGGGAACCATGATGACGAAGGCAGACCGCGGAAAACAGAACCCCAACAACACAGAGAGGACTACATGCAACGACACGCGAAGCTGGAGAAAATCTCTAGGCCAATCCCTTGGGCCCCAGGAAAAACCACACTTATGAACACAACAATGTACGAACAACTATGTAATCAACATGATCTGAAACCGAGTTACCCCTCCACCAGAAGCAGTGTTTTCAGGTTTTGCCGTAGTCGTTCGGGTGCAGGGAGGGGGGAGGAAAAAGTAGGAGAAGCATGAACGGAACGTTTGAACTAATCATGAGAAGCGAGGCAACTAGGAACATGCGGGATAACTACAAAATAGTTATGAAAGTTGTGAGCCTCATATGTTATCAAAAATATTCGCATGTTTTGCTTCATGCAACTTCTTATGTCTTCAGAGTCCTTGGTTTCCAGAGATTAGCTGCCCCGTGCTGTTCGCAAAAGAAGTGCAGTGTCCCGTGTTGGTACACGCAGTGAGAAAGCGAGCAAGACAGAGACACAAACAGGGATACAATGAGAGGAAGACGGAAAGACAAGTGAAAGACATTTCTATAGAAATCAAGGGACAGATGATGACGAGGAGAGAGAGAGACAGAGAGAGGGAGGACTTAGTCCCCAAACCCCACGCGAGCAAACAGCAAGCAAGCAAGCAAGAGAGAGAGAGAGAGAGAGAGAAACCGAGCATCTATGTCTTTTACCGACGCCCCCACAAGCCCCCGTAACAGGGGCGGGCCAT